CCATTTGGACGAGGAATATTCCCATAGGATTTCAGCTTTCTACCTTCTCAGATCCCCAAGCTATCAGCTTACCCGTAAAAAACTTTGACAGGCTCTCACGTGGGTACAGCGCTTACTCGGGGGCTAGGTTTGAGCACAATGAGACTTTACATGGACGGCAATCAGCTCCTTAAAACTTCATCTTCCTAGCTTTCCTGGTTCGCGAGTTAGCGACTTACTCGCAAAAAATTTTTATGGGCTCGTACGTGGGTACCACGCGGGTGAGACTACCCATTTTGGGGATGGAGCTCATACATGCATGTAGATCAAGTTCCGGAAGTTTCAGCCCTGTAGTTTTTATAGGTCTCGAGATGAAAAATCGGTACAAACGCCCAGCGGAAACAAAGACATAGAAACATGCACAGAAGGCCTCTCGTCAGTATGCGTTTTCTGCATTGCATAGCTGCAAAAAACGCATAAAAATTATCCTTTTAACTTTTTTGCTTTTTTTTAAATTTATCACAGAATTCTGAGTCAAATGCAAAAAATTGTGAAAATTGCAGGATGCAAGTTTATTTTTCGACACTCCGCTTACCGGACTGCAGTGTGCCGGTGATCTTGCAAGGAACAAATATACTTTGTTGACTTGTGAAATGATTGCTTTACGCGGACGAAAAGTTTGTGCCGAGGAATATGCACGACTTTCACCAGCTGGTGAGCTCGTTTATGCAAATTTTACAAAAACACTGACAGAACTTGGTTATTCTTAGATGACGGTTACACCTGGGATACTGTCCGTGGTTCATATTTCATAATAGTAAACAGATTTATTGATTGCAATTTTCTGAGATTCGTTGTTTAGTTTCAATGATAAATTGTTTTTTGTGCGTGAAAAGATTCACGTTATTTTCATGATATTTTATGTTATTTCATTTCATGATTTTCATGTTATTTCATGTTTCATGTTATTTCATGTTATGTCATGTTATTTCGTGACTTTCATGAAAAGATTCATGATAAATTCATGTTATTTTTGGTGTTGTGAGCCTTCTTTACTATTGCTAGTGTATGGTTCCTATTATCGAAATGCTCTCATTCGTACTGCTTTCGATGCCCCCAAATGAAGTTTTTGGCCTTAGGTCTTGGCAAAAGTTATGTAGGCCTCTTCCAGCTTATCTGTTTTTTTTTCAGTTTTCAACTTAGTTCAGAAGTTATGCTTTCGTGAACTATTATTATTCATATTTCTGTTCCGGAGATTACTAATTTATCAACTTCAGCATCCCTCCACTAATGATACAATTTTTAGATCGAGTTCGACTACTGAATAAAGTGTTAAATGATATTCGAAAACGCGCTCTACTGCCGGTAACTGGTCAGTACCCGATAGTGGATGCTAGATGTCCTCTTGTGCGTTTCGTTTACAATCGGTAAATTTCGAACTTTCCAAATTATTGCTTTTTTTCCCGGATTTTTTAAATATCGAGATGAACTGCTATTTTTTTAAAAAAAGAGCCACCATTGTTCAACCACTGCAAAAAAAATTTGAGCTGATATATATATATATATATATATATATATATAT